TCTTAGTGGGAGACTTCAGTCTCCAGTTCTGTCAAGGGACATACACAAGCAGTAAATTAACACATATATTCAGCAAAATTAAGATTGGCTTTATCCCTCAAGTCAATTAGTAATTATGCACCCTTATGTAGTTCAGTGGATTTTAAAGTTTCAGTAAAATGATATTGCTTCAGTCAACTCAGTGAACTGTCCTTGCTTATGCTTTCCAGTCAGGTCTGAATTTATTGTCAAGGGTAACAACTGTGTGGACAGTACTACAGGGAGGATCTGTGGAGCTGGTTGGACAGAGTACTGGCAAAAATTTTTCTCTCAGATGATGTCAATTCACTATAATAAAAATTATTGGCAGGCATGTTGACCTCATATTTGTGAATTTCTCATCATAAAAGGCTGTGCCATCAGTTGCATGAGCAGGATACTCAACTGTACTGGTTATCAGGTTAAGCAGAGTAATAAACTGGCAGGTCTTACTTCCCAAGTAAGTCCTCTAACACTGAGCTGGAAAGTCATTCTCTTCTGAGCATTATTCTTCCCCACAGCCAGTATAATGGCTGAAACCTTAGTGTCTTTCACTAAGAAATTAATGATCATCCCCAAGTATGAAGAAATTCTGGTTAATTTTTTCACCTTAATACCACTCAGAGGCCTGGAAAATACCTTCTCTGCCCATGCTTTGTTTGTTTTGAGGTAAGACACTACATGTCTATATATCTGTCCCAATCCAATGTCAGGGGAGGTTTTGATAAGATCTCAAGAGCAAGATTAAGATATAAATGAGGTCAAATGCTGTAGAACCTTTCAAACTTTATTTCTGTAACAAGAGGTATTAGCAATAGGATAGAGGGAAGCAGAAGAGATCAGAACAGCTAAGCAAGCAAACAGAAGAGATGCAGCAATATCAGTTACCACTACCACGAATCCAGCAGCATCCCATTGGTTCGGTCTTAGTGCAGGCGATGAGGAATCCACCGGGAGAAGAGTACACAGTCCTTTTATTGTCCCAGTCTGCACAATAAGTCTGCCCATTTCCATGGAGCTTATTATCATATTCGTTGCCCCGTGTTCCTCCATGTGCTCATGTCCATGTGTTCATGGTGGTTGTACTGGGGGAGAAGTCAACTGGCAACACCTTTAGCCTCCACACGTCCTCCTTGTACCGATTTCGTCACCCAGCCACATGCACAAGCACAGCTTGGTAGATGTTACAGAAGATGTAGTTGTTTCAACTTCAGGCAGACACCGTGGGTTTTTCAGGTGTATTTTTGTCTCCTTCAGGGTGTACTTCTTCATGGAAACAGGATGCTGAGGCCAAGTTTAGGCAGTGGTGCAGTGTCAAAACAGACAGCTGACATAGTTCAACACAGTCTCTTACACCACCCCATGGCTCAAGGGATGGTAATGGTGGAACAGTAGTGCTGAGACAAAACAGCTGACACACTCTCTTACAATACCCCACATCTCTCTGCTATGATTGAATTTGACTGTTGAGAAACAAAGCTACATGTCAACATTTTGCAATGCTTTTCAAACTGCATTCCTGGTTCTTGCAAACTTAAATTATTTCTATATTAGATATAAGCAACAGTCTTCTTGCCACAGTGCTAAACTTATCCAAATCTTATTTGCTCCTGCATGTGCATATGATTAAGCAGATGATTGAGTTGAAGTGTTGGGAGTGATAATACAAAACAGACTTACTCTAATTTCCATATAGGAGGAAAAGCAAGGATACACTTCTATGCTTTTTCAATCAGTAGGAAAAGACCTTTCTTCACCTCACTGAAATAATGTAGCACAATATTCTAGCTCAGGAATGTAGAAAGGACTGACAGTGTGTACTGAAATACCATCACTTACAACTTTATGGTGGGGCAGTGATGTGATATACTGCTGATTATTTCCCCCTCCTGACTTATTTTTGTCACTAATTCAAGAATCTTCTATTACATCTCATATCTGTGATGAAAGAGAAAAATATCTCCTTTTAGTTGAAGTTGAGCCAAAGAAACAATGGTTTGAAGTACATGCTGTAAGAAATACCAGAGCCTTTACGATAATTGAACCCCAAGTGACCTCTTTAAAATAAGGAAGGGGGAAAAAAGTCAATCATCTGGTCTGCAGGAAGAAGAAGAAAAAGGGGCATCAGTGAAGCCCTTAACGTACTTGTTTTATTCATGTAGCCATGGCCACAGCTTTTAGACATGATTAATGCATGCCATTGATGCATCACTTTTAACAGGTTTTTATTTAAAGAAACTGAGATGGAATTATTAAAAGCCTCACAATTCAGGTTTTCATTTAAAAAAAAAAAAGAAAAGAAAGTGGAAGTTAAAAGCAAAATGGTCACTGGTGGCATAAAAATGAGGTCAATGTACTGAAGCTTTACAGAAAGGAGATTATAGGCAAGAGCTCCAGAGCACTAAGAAAAATACTGCTAAAGTACCTGCATTGTGGGGTTTTTGTAAATACTGTTGATTAGATAGAGATAATATTTGTGTTAGTGTTTTCTTCCAGTTTAAAGAAAATTGAGGAAAGCAGTCGAATTATCTTAGAGATGTGTTGTATGAAGGACAGTGTCAGGTTGTTTCTTTTTTTCAAGGAGGGAATAATGGAAAGAATCAAAATGCCACCCACTGAAAAAAGTGTCACAGTGATATTATCTGCTCAAAGGGTTGAAGAGCTAAAATTAAAAAAAAAAAAAAAACAACATAGAAAAAAAGCATAATAAACAACTGTGAAACTGTGGTCAAAGGAGTTAAATTGTATGAAAGATGTAACTGCATGAGTTTTCTTGACTCTACCTCTTTCCCCTCTGCCAAATAATGCTGTATGATATTTCAAAAGCATTAAATAACTAAACTCTTGAATAAAGCAATGAGACTTTTTTCTTATTAATATATGAAGTGCAGAGTTAGGTGAAAGTATACTGATACTTGGAGCATTTAGGAATTTTAAAGTGTGCTTGCAGAGGCAAAGCAGCAAAGAAGGCAGGCTTGCAGATCTTTCATTATCTGTTGCCTTATGAGTGTGGCACCTCAGTGCAAAATCTTGATTTAGTTGTATTTCACATACTCTTTGGCATGATAGTTTTTTAAAATGCTGACTGAGGGGAGAGGTGGAAGGATTTTAAGACATTATTGTAACAAAAAATATCAAAGTAAAGTTTGTGAGATGAGCTAGAAAAGTAATTTTGCCTCTCTTTCAGGGTCCAGTTGGTGGTCAGCACTGAATGTTACTGGCTCTTCATGTGCGCGTCTGGAAGTGGGGGAGGGGAAGGGTACTCTAAAATAGTATAAAGTAGATGAAGGAACAAAATTAGCCAAAGTAAAGAATTTGCCCCATCATCAGTAGTTTCATTTCTAAAGAGTTATATTCAATAAAGCAAGTTTCATTCTTGCAGTGAGTCACTTTAGGGATGCCATGATTCCTTAAAGAGGGGTAAATGTATACCGATTAAAGAGAGGATAAATTGATAAAGACTTCTAAATAAATCATTATTAAAAGGTAAAATTACTAGCCCATGACAATTTTAAACCAAAGAATTCCTGCTCTTTCTTACAAAATTAATGTCAAAAGATATTAAATATTTTCCAATATAACAATGAACAAGACAAAAGATATACAGAGAAATACCACAGTCAGCCCGCTAATTTTGCTACTGATGCTCTGTGATTAAGTAGCGTTCCAAATACCTGCAGGGGAGACAGGGATTTGAGGATTCATGGAGAATTCCCCTTGGCTTTGCCTTAGTCACTGCCATGAAGTTCTTGCTCTTTGTGAGCAGACAACCCTTGAGAGTGAGTCTCAACACAACACTAGGGAATTCATGCCCTCATCGTGTACTTGATAGATTACTTGCATTCTGACTCTGCTGCCAATGGACTTTATCCTATCACAGAAATTAGGTTTGCTGCTGGCTGTTTCATACTCCTTTGGGGACAGAAAATGCAGGAGCTTGTGTCCCTGAGCAGTAATGATTTTCAAATACTCTTCAGCCCACATACATGAAGTTAAAAATCCTATATAACTATTTGTAACTACCTGGATACTTATGGGTATATACCTGTTATTAAAATCAAATGCATAATTGCTATTCTTGTGAGAGAAGATTCACAGAGTAGGAGTAATTTAAAATGGGTACAGAAACCAATTACATACATTGAGGGGATAAGATCCAGATCAAATTTAACAGGATATAGGCACTCAGTGGTGGCCTTTTGATACGTAGAATAATTGAGGATTGAGATAAAAGTTATGGTCTTCCATTATCTATAATTGGTCATTTACAGTTTTTAAAAAAATGAAGGCACTTCTTCAATTGCCACAATGGTGACAAGCATAAAATAACATGTCAATGTCACTGCAATGTCCCTGAAATTAACCATTCCTTTCACTCTGAATTACTGCTTTTCTGAGCTGTGCATAAACAGCTCCCTCCATCATTCAAGTAAGTTGTTCTAACAACCTTTAACATTCTTTACCTATGTGGAGAGAGAACATCAAATATCCACAGTCATGTTGCTAACTTCTAAAAAAACAAAGTTAGTTACCTTGTACTTTACTACAACTGAGTGTTTGCCCCAGTTCCTGGCTTTGAAAAACTTTGAATTTAAGGTTTGGATAAAGAACAGAAGCTGTAGGTCAGAAACATCTTCAACCTGAAGTCCCCTCATTTTGGCTGTTGGAAGTGGAATTTCCAAAGTGAAGTTTCAAGGGAATGTGTTCAGAAAAGGCTTCTCACAGGTACATTAGATACATAGTCTACTGGACCTTCCTTCCTTCCTTCCTTCCTTCCTTCCTTCCTTCCTTCCTTCCTTCCTTCCCTATTTTCCTTAGTTTCTTCCTTCCTTTCTTTAATAATCTAAAGAAAAAAAAGCCCACTACTGTGTAAAAGTAGACCTTGGATGCATGTAGTGCATTTGAATTCTCATTTTGTTTAACTTTATTGGTTTGCACATGGGTGGTGTAATCTGCTTAAGACAGAGAAACATGTTTGTCACATCTTCCAAAGAATAGGAAATCAGAAATCTGCTGTCCATGTGTAATTTATATAGGATCACAGAAACATAGAATTGTTTAGGTTGGAAAAGACCTTTAAGATCATCAAGCCCAACAGAACCTAACACTGCCAATTCCACCACTAAACCTTGTCCCTAAGCACCACGTCTACACATCTTTTAAATACCTCCAGGGATGATGACTCAACCACTTTCCTGGGTAGCCTGTTCCTGTGCCTGACAACACTTTCAGTGAAGAAATTTTTCCTAATATCCAATTTAAACCTCTCCTGGTGCAACTTGGGGCCATTTTCTCTTGTCCCATCTCTTGTTACCTGGGGGGAGAAGAAACTAACACCCAGCTTGGTATAATCTCCTTTCAAGTAGTTGTAGAGAGTGATAAGGCTTCCCAGTGCCTCCTTTTCTCCTGACTAAACAACCCCAGTTTCTTTATCTCCCCCTCATAAGGCTTGCGCTTGAGACCCTTCACCAGAGTTTCTGCCCTTCTTTGGACACGCTCCATCACCTCAATGTTTGTCTTGTCATGAGGGTCCCAAAATTGAACATAGTGTTTGAGGTGCAGCCTCACCAGTGCCGAGTATGGGGGGCAATCACTTCCCTAGTCCTGCTGGCCACGCTATTTCTGACACAAGCCAGGATGCTATTGGACTTCTTGGCCACCTGGGCACACTGCTGGTTCCTGTTCAGCTGACTGTCGACCAACACCCCCAGGTCCTTTTCCACTGGCAGCTTTCCAGACACTCTTCCCCAAGCCTGTAGTGTTGCATGGGGATAATACCAGAGATAATGCCGGAAGATTGTCTGTAAGGTATGTGTTCATGAAGTTAATAGATAGTTCCTTCTCTCCTGAAGCATTTATTAACCATTACAATTGACTTTACCAGTAAGTATCATATAAGAGATTATAGCTGTTCAATATTGCAGGACACATTTTTGTTGAATCTCCCCAGGTTATATTATTACAAGTGAATATAAGAATCAAGGATAGATCTATCAGATACTGTGGGTAAAAAAGAGAGAAAAAAAACATGCTATAGAGAATTCAGGGGAATGAATGTTAATGAGGTATTTTGATGTTTTGGAGCTACAGACTTTCAACTATAGCCATTCAGTTTCCCTTTCTTCATTTCCCTGGTGGCTTTTGGCATTGCTTAGGGATACCCATCTGGCTCTGCACTTTTCTCTGTGGTACAATTAATGTTGGTTTTGCATGCACATCTTCTTTGTCTCAGAATCACTATGGAGAAAGAATTCTAGAGCTATTGTTTTTATGTCATTTAATACAATCATGTTCTTCACAGAATTTATTTTGCAATCAATTATTTTGAGTATACATCATTAGGTTCCAGTTAGCTTTAATGCCCACTTTGCAAAATGTTATGTTGCCTTTCATTGTGGCAAACCGAGATTAATCCCAAGAAATATGCTGTTGGAATAGGCCCTGATGCAGTGTGAAATAAACAATAAGATTCACAGATCTCATTTCATTCATATTCAAGACCTTTTCTTCTCTGTGTGTTTGTATAAGTTATGTAACAGTTCATGAGATGGTTGTAGATTTGAACATAGCAGCAGTGAAGCAGGCCTCTTAGAACCAGGAACAGAAGCAGTACTGCAATGTAATATTGGGCAGTGGGATGTTTATTTTTGTTCAACACATGTATTAAAAATCTGGTTATACATGAAATCATAACCGTGATACATGGTCTTTGCAGAGCAGGAGAAATAGTAAAACTCTGCCCTTTCCCTTTTCACTTTCCTTTTTCTATCTCAGTCATGATAACACCAAGGCTGAGAATCTGGAGTAGAGGAGGAGAGACAAGTTGCATGTTTTTGTCCTCAGATGTGTTCTCAGGGGACCTTTCTCCTTTACAAGTCTGAGCAGGAAATGGCACAGGCACAGCAGGGCATTATCGGTGCTAGGTGATGAAGATTACTCACGCCTTCAACATAAACTAAAATTCCTGCTGTTTCCTCCTTACGTGTCTTAGGTAGAATAATGTTATATATTATCTCATGATTTCAAAATCCAGACTCTGCCTCCTACTGCTTTGCTTTTTATCAATTAGAAAATTTGTTTCTTTTACAGTGGGAATACTGAATCATTATTTTTTTTCCTCTACTTGTTTGCACATCTGGGTAATCACCATAGCAACTGATGTATGCCAGGTGTCTGCTCAAAAAGAACTCTATCCTCCCAGTCTCTCTCACTGAATTAATTACATTAATTGCCAAGCAGATATTAAATCAAACCCAGGACTGAATAAAAGATTTAAAAGGTGTACACCTTATTACAAACATTGTAAGCAATTCCTGAATAATATAAAAAAGATACCAAATATATGAAACACTTAAGTGATCAAGTTGTAAATTAATATGCAAAATAATAAAAGTGCAAAATTTTAACAGAGAAGACAGACTTGCACTTTGGAAAAAGTCCTAGTAGTCTAATGTGTCTAAGATCTCTTTCTCACTGAAGTGAAACAACTCTTAACATTTTAATTTTCTTTTTAATTCCTCTAAAATAACATTAAGGTTACACAGTTAAGAATTGAAGTGTCAGGCAAATAAGCTAACAAGGTTTAAAAACCTTATTAACCCTGTTTTTTTACATGTGAATTATACACACTGAACTTTAACCATATAATATGTATTTTTATGATTTTATAGTTCAAACCTGAGATAGGCACAAGATTAAGTTTCACTTTATACTTCTATATGTACAAATTAATTCTATATATGGTATTAAAATTCTGATTAATTTTAATCATGCTAGATTTTAACCAGCACTTTTCATAATACTATTAGAAGGTTTTTTTTTTTCATATTCTTTATCTGTTCTCTATTAGTGTACTAATAATTTTCTTTTCAACTAAAATAATTTTCCGTAAATGAATTCAAACAGTTCAAAAAGAGCTCATGATATTTTTCTTTGCTATTTCTTATTTGCCTCAATTAAACCCTTGCAAACGTTCCTCGTGCTAACATGCCATTTTCCTCCCCCCTCAAACGCATTTTTCTGTTGTTTGAGACACTAATCACAACCATTTTATGAAAAGACAAGATCGGATGCTGCAGGTAATATTTCACATACCAAATTAACATCAGTTGTTTCTGCTTCTTAGTATAGCTTTGCATCTTTAGCATTCTCTTTTTGTAACTGTTATTTTTAAAGTTTTCCTATCATAAATTACAGAAATATTAATTTATAACAAGCTTATGCATTCTGATACTGTAAGATTGCATCTAAATCATGGGACAGGTACATGCCACAGTCCACCCTGGTCGCTGTGGATACCCAGCCATTCAGATCAGGTAGTTGACTGGAACAGGCTATTTGCTCACTGACATGCATACCTGGGTATAATTTCTGAGGTTATGGGAGGATGGTGTAAAGCTGGATGTTGCCTATGTAGAAACAGGACGGCATTTGAGAGTCTCCTGGATTTGGGAACTAGGATGCTTTGATTCATAAGATCATTTGGTAAAAATATTGGTATTGCTAAATAATCAGTAACTAATGAGATGAACAAAAAATTACTTTTCTGCAGGTCTCTTACCTCAGTGAATCTATTTTTTTTTCACCAAGTAGGTTGATACATATGGTGGGTACTGTAGTACCTTTAAAACTTCCAAATTTGGAACATTTAATATCACAGTTACAAATGTTAAAATTGTTCTACTGTGGACCTGAAAATCCTGAAGATGTATTCTTGATACCTAAAGAAAATATATTGTGTAAAAAACAACTGATCATTGAAAATTTCAGCAAATGACCATGATAGGCTCAATGTTAAATTTACACTCTTAAATCCACAATAAACAGCTCTGAAGAATGATTTTATAATGGAGTGAAATTTTTGGGTGTTTTTTGAAAGCCTTCATCATTAACAAGTTGTCAAGTCCGATATTTCAGTTCAGTTGAACATTGTGGAAGAGCTTAAATGTTATAAATTCAGTCTAATATAGAAAAGAATCATGGTGTATTAATTACAGATCTCATACAAGCTTCTATACATAAATAAAGCATATTTCTACTTCAAGTTCAAGATACAGGAAAATAGACAACAGCAGTGATTACATTGGAAAATGAGGCTGACTAATAGCGATTCAGCATTTTCAGTTTAACATAAAAGTAACATCTTTGTCCCTTTGTGACAGATAGAGTATATACCTTTCTTTCTTACAATCTAGTGTTCAAGAATGTCCCACTTGCCATTGATAAAATTTTTAATTAACATATGATTTTTTTTCTGTGAGTATATACTGCATAAATGTCAAGCATTTTTAGCTGTTTTTCTCATGCTATTTTTGAGTGGAGTATAATACGCTCCCTTAAACATATCTGAAGATAATAATAAATGCATAACTATTAAGTTGTATATTTTTAAAGTAGATGTTGGTACATCAGCAAGAGTTTACTGTATACTGATAAAGAAATTCTTCTAGTAATAGCTCCTGTGCAATTTGATACAAGATTTTATAGAAATAAGTAATCATATTTCAGGTCTGAAGCTATTAGTTACGTTTGTTTTTATTAATTTGTTGTTGAGTATTATTTAATCTGTTTAGTAAATGAAATTCATTCTTTCTCTCCCTTCCCCCTTTATGCTTCTGTATCTCTTCTTCCTTCTCTCTCTCCCTCTCTTACTTTTTCTTTCCCTCTCATATCCTGTCAGTGAACTAACTTGCACAATTACACTTTAAGTTCACATATAGAAAGGTGACTTTGTGAAAGAGTAATGCAATTTGATGGAGGATCATAAATGAAATTGAAATGCTTTTTCTGATGATGCCCTGCTCCTTAAATAAAAATTAATGTAACATGTTACAGTAGATTTATAAAACTGCAAACAGCAGCAGCAGCAAACTGCTGCTATTACCCTCAGTACATATTCTAGAAAATTAAAATTTTATTTTGAGAGTTATGTAATATATTTCTGATTAGCTTAAGTTTATTTAAGGATGTTTAGTTTTTTCTTTGCTTTGTAGAAAAAGTGTGTTCTTTCCCAAGGGGTCACTTAATTCTATCTGCATCCCATAACTTATCCTTCTTTCCTAGTTTCATAATACTTTGTAGGGACTGAATAGTCTCTCTGATAATTTAAAAATTTTCATTTCAGAGAGATACCATTTCCTTCTAAATACAGCTTTTACAATCTATACAATTCTCTCTTGCGTATCTTGTCTTTGTATAACCAAGAGATTTGTATGACACCGTGA